CCCCTGCCCCCACCCATCCCATCTCACTCCCCTGGGGACCCTGGCCCAGCCCCAGTCCCCTTGGGGTGGTGGGAATGCAAGAACATTTGGCTGGGCTGATTGATGAGGGAGGAAGCAGCCACTGGGCACTGAGGCTGCTGTTTGCTGAGCACACAGATTCCTCCCCACTCACCAGCTGCCGCCCCCTGAGGCTGCTGAATCTCCCCACCACCACCACTAGCCACTTGGATTGGAGGGAGCTGATGCCTGAGTTTCTGATGGCAACTGAGGGAAGTGGGAGAGCCAGGCCATGGAATGCTTCGATTCCTTCTGGGAATCAGGGGACCCTAGGACCTGGTCCCCTCAGAACTCCCTACAGGACTCCACCTTTGCTGCTGCCTTTCAAACATCTCTCCTGTGCTGAGTTTTCACTCCCATTTGTTTTGTATCCTTTTCCCTACCCCCACCCAACTCTCTGAGCCCATCCCAGCTAGCCCCCTGCCTCCAAACCAGCCTGCCACATTTCTCCCAGCCTGCCTACAGATCTTGAAACTCTCTCTAGGGAAGGGGATGCCCCATGTTTGTGACTCCACTTAGGAAGCTCTGTTTTTCATTCTAACTACATTTCCAGTTGTGATGTCAACCATTCCCCATCAGAAATTCCCACTGCAACCCTTTGCTCTGTTCTCCTTTTCTTAAAACCCTCAACAGAGACCACAGACACAAACATACATACCTCAACCTAATTTACATCCTGCTTCTGTTTGGAAGGATGGAAAAGTGTGAGCTTCTGTCTGCAGCACAGCCCCCAGGACAGCCTCCATCCTATGCTGGGTGGGGGCTTTACGTTCTGTGGTCCCCAGCTCTCTCAGATCCTTTACTCCCACTCTGCTCTAGACTCTGTACCAGCAGCTGTACCACAGCCCCAAAATCTCAGAGCATTATCCCTGCCCTCCCAGAGCATAAAATTTAGTTGAGGAAAACACAGCTCATATCCACACAAGAAACAAAGGGGACCCACTCCCGCCCCAGACCTTAAAGTAAATGTTTATATCTTTTTCTATAAAACTGGTGTGCTTGTTTGTCTGGAAATGTATTTTGTGTGCTGATTTCTTTGTATTTATTATAATGAAGTAAAAACTCATGTTTTTAGGTCAAAAGAAAGAAACAAACAAACAAAGGGGAAAAAAATGGAAGACGGAGTTAGATGAACTTCCTAAATGTGGATTCTTCCTTGGTCACTTGCTACTCTACACGCTGAGGCTGGGGAAAGACAGGACGCATCTAGAACATGTGTGTGGTTGTGATGTCTTTCTCACTATTCCCAAGCCTGTCGAGATTTCACCTCTATGCTTTGCACTTGCGGTTCCGTCTTTCTGTTCTGCCCTTCCCCATAGTGCCTGCCTTCCATACTCCTCATTATTCAAGGTCCTGAACAAATGTCACCTCTTCAGAGGGACCCTCCTGACCTCCTAACTTAAAGCATCTTCCTGATACTCTCCATCCTCTTCAGTTTTTTTATATCACTTATCACTACCAGAAATATTATTATGTTGTTCCCCACCAAAATGTGGATTTCATGAAAGCAGGGGCTTTGCCTTATTCACCTCATACTACCAGTGCCTGAAATAGTACCTGGAACAAAGCAGATATTTAATATGATGCTGAGTGAATGAATGAATGAATGAATGAATGTCTTCCTGCACCTCTTCTTGCTTTGTTGTACTTGTTAGCCTAGGAGTGTGTTTGTGTGTTTGTACCTAGAAAGCGAATAGGATGGCATGTGTTTTTCTGTGTGGAAGTCACCTGAGCTTTCAAATAGCTCAGAAGATCACTACACATGTGGAAGGCTCTAGATCTTGCATTGTTAATGTCTGGGGAGAGGAGAGTCTATAGATGCCAGTTCTCTGAAGGGGTGTGCCCCAGGGTAATGTGCAGAATGTGCTGTTCCTCTCCCCAGCTGTGCATCTGTCCCCAGGTGTCTTCCTGTCTCTCAGCATGTTATGATGTCTCGGTTGCTTTGGTGAGATGTTTGTCTGTCACGGAGACTATTTATCCCCGCTTCTCTTCCCTCTCTTCTCTCCACCTGTGCCTCTGGATGTACGTGTAGGGGAGTCTTCCTTGGCTCCCTTGCCCCCTCGCACACACAGCCCTGCCCCAGTTGTGGACCCCTCCCTCTCTCACTGGGCCCTGTTGCTGGGCTCTGGGTTGCCATAGTGACGGTTGCCAAGTCCCTGAGGCTGATAGCCAGCGATGGGGCTGTCGGCTCCATCCACGCGGGAGGCTGAGGGGGGCTTCCCATTGTGTGAAGAAGGGGATGTTGCCATGACAACCAACCCCCACTAAGGGGCAGGAACCAGCCCTTCCACACCCCCTCCAGCCTCCCCACCTCGGGCAGCTCCAGTGTGGGCTTAGAAGGCAGGAGTAAATTCCAGACAGCCCAGCACCTGGCCTCCCAGTTTTCAACTCCCCTCCTACAGCGCCTGCACCTCTCGGGACCCAGGGATCTTGCTCAGACAAGGGGAGGGGCAGGGGTCCCACTGGACAGAGGAGGGGCAGGAGGACCCCTTGACCTCCAGGCAGATGGGAGACAGCGGGAGAGGACCTAAAGTCAGGGGAGGGGCGGGCAGGTCAGAGGTTGTGACCCCCACCGACTGGCTGCAGCGATGCTCCTCACGGCTGCTTTTGTGGTTGGAGAATGGGGCTGAGTCTAGGGGACTGGGCATCTGGGTTTTAGGGGGAGAAGAGCCTGGGTTATGGGTACACAGGGAGCCACGGAATAGGCAACTTGATGCCTGGGTCCCTGAGTCTTCTGGGCACAGGAGTGCCTTGGGCAGGAGTGGGAGGGAATAGATTGAACACGTGAGCATGTTTTTTCCACTTTGTTTCCGACTGAGACTTGCCTTGAATCTGATACTTGGTTTAGCAATAGACACTTGGGCTTTCCCCCAGTGTGTGAATGCATATTCACAGACAGCCCCATTTGGATGTATTGGCAACCCACTACCACCTGGGTTCCTCTCTCCCTCCCCTGGCAGGGGCTGCTTTCCTCAGCCTCCTCGCGCAGCCCATGACCACACCCGCCTCCGCCAGCCAGGCCCTGTCCACTTCACCCATCCAACCCAACCCCCTCCCTACCCCTTGGTTTCATGCAATTCAACACTCAGCTGGAAAGCTGTTCTAATCACCAGCTCTCTGCCCCAATTCACGTCCAGTCATTCTCCAGCCTTCTCATCAACTTTTGAAGTTTTTTATTTTTTTTTGGTTTTTGTTGTTCAAATTTCCCTTTTACAGTAAAACTATTGAGGTGACGGCCATACCCCGCCACCTCCCCCATGGCAATATCAACTTCCTGTTCTCTGGAAGGAGTGATTAGAAAAATCAGGAAGGAGCTGGGAACTACAGCACCAGAGAGATAGCTTGACCTCTGGTGGACAAAGCAACCATCTTGGCTGGTGATTGAGGTGGCCGACGTGGTGCCCAAAGGCAGCTCTGACCTAAAGGAAATGAGCTGGGAGGAAACTGAGGCAACACCCAATTGTGCACTAGTGGGCAGGAAGAGGTATCAGCTGGTCACTATGGAAAGACTGGCTGTTGCTAAGGACCACTGTCAGCTAGACCAGTCAGTAGGCCACCATTTTGGTCACTAAGAAGGGAGCTGTGTTGAGTTTGAAGGGAGTAGGAAATGGAGAATGTGATGAACAAGACAGCCATCCAGGTTACTGGGGACAACACGTGGGTTCTTGGGGTCATCCTGTTGAGTAACAGAGATTATACTGGGGTATGGAAAGGGAAGAACAAGACAAATTGAGCCTGCCATGGCAGATGGCAGCCACCTTAGCTGTCCTAAAAGCAGCACAGAGAACAAGGGAAGGGAGATCCTGGCACGTGACACTGAATACTAGGAAGAACCTCAGTCCACCCGATCTTCTTAGAGTAAGTTCCAGCTTCCTCCTGAAATGGGAAGTTCTTCCTGTCCGCCCTTCTCCACAGAGTAAGAACCATCCACCTCCCCCCACCCCCCAGACTAAGCCACTTCCGGTTCCAGCCAGACCACTTCCTATTTCAGAAGTGCTACTTCCTGTCCTGGATGAAGGCACTTCCAGTTCCTGCTGCACTGCTTCCACTTCCCAGGCCACTTCTGTCCAGGCCTGGTCACTTCTTGTCTGGAGCAAGTCACTTCCTGTCCCAAGTGGCCCATTCAGCATCAGGCCAAGTCCACATGTGTCCTGACTGGTTCATAGCTTGCTATTGGCCACTGGACAAAACGGGACACTTCTCATGGTAGCTGTCATGACCCAACCATCCCAAATGGCTGGAGTAAGTATGCAGAGGCCTGGGGCAGGGCAGAGCAGGAGGCCCTGCTACCCATGCCCTGAGCTGGGGTGGAGTGCCAGAGCCTTCCCCATAAGGCCCCCATTTTTGTCAGACTGAGGGCAGTGGTTGGTAAGAGAAGTCAGAAGAGGGAGCTGAGGGGAGAAATGCTTTGATGCCCCCACCCTGGAGATGGGAGAGGTGCAGGATAAGAAGCCAAGAGGGTAAATAAAAGGAGGTACAGGGAGGAGGATGCTAGGGAAGAGGAACAGACCTAGAGACAGAAGAGAGAGACAGAAAATAAGAGAGAGAGGAGAAAAGAAGAGAAAAACAGTGAGAGGCAGAAAGAGGTGCCAACCAAAAGACAGACTGTTCCCACCCCTAGCTCTCAGTGGGTGAGGGGGACAAGGATCCCTGGGTCATGGTTAGACGAAGAGGCTGAATCTTTGCCCCCTCCCCAGGGGAATAGGACCCAGGAACACAGAGACAGAGAGGGGCACACACAGCCAACCAGAGGGCAGGCGGTCGTTGGGTGGATGTCTTAGGGAATCCTAAAAGTGGAGAAGAGGCGAGAGCCAGGAGGAGCAAAGGAGCTGCGGGGGCAAAGGGGGCCAAGGAGATGCTAGAGGTGTCCCTCAAACCATGAATTAAACTGGAGGCGCACCCCACAAAGGGCTGGATCCAGGAGAGCCAGATCGGAGGAGCCCTCATACCTTGTAGTAGATGTTTGGAGGGCTCTGGGGGGGCCCATCCTGCACGATGTACACAGGATGCCCATAGTCACCACTCACCTTCTCATAGTGGGGACAGAAGGGGGGATCTGCAGCCCCACCGCCCCGCAGAGCTATCCCTAGCTCCCCAGGCTCAGCCTCCCTAGGTCCCATCCCGCCTCCACCCCCCAGGCCCAGAGACCCTCCCCTCCCGAAGGAGCCAGGACCAGGGTGGCGACTCTCCGAAGGCTTGGCCCGCCGTCTCCGCCAACACATGGCACCCCCAGCCCCTGCCACGCCCAGCAAGAGCAGCGCCAGCCCCCCTGCTGCCCCGGCCACTGCGGGCATGCTGGGAGGGGGCAGGGGGCCTTCAGCACCCCGGGAGGTTGCATTGCTGGTGGGGTCACCTGGCAGGGAAGGGGTGAAGGAGGAAAGAGGGGGTGGGGCTGAAGGAGCCACCCGGGCATCTGGACACCCATCCTTGCGGGTCCCCATGGGTTTCCCCAGCAGTGCCCAGGCCCTTTGGGGACCCCACTTCCCCTCCCCTCCAAGCCCCACTCGGAATCCAGGTGTGTCCAGCCCTTCAGCTCCATGCCAAGGAGTCCTCCCCCCTTCTCTGACAGCACTGATTGAAGCACTGACTTGGCTAATTAGTTCTGATTGAGTCTTTTCCTCATTTGGCTTCCATTCCCCTCCCATCCTCCCATCCTCTCTTCTCCTCTTTCCTGTATCACTGCCCCCAAAACTGAAGAGGGAGGGAGGGAGAGGGTGAAGCTAGGGCAGCTGGGGTCCGAGAGCAGAGGAGGCTAGGGAAAACAGGAGGCTGGACCCCTGGTTCCTACCTGCTGTGTTCTCCTTCCCAGGCTCCAGGCTGTGGGCCACCCCTCGGTCTTTTTCCATGGGCATTTCAGACACAGGCTTTCGGGGACCTGGAGACGGGGAAGGGCCGAGAGAGAGGCTGAGACAGCAGCCCCCTAACCATGATGGTACTGCCCCTCGGCCCCTAGGAGGTGTGCCCTAGCCCCACTCACTTTGTCCCACTCGAAGAAGCACCTTCATGCCTCTAGTGAGGCACACACCTCCCTGCAAGCTCTCCAGGCCTTCCCGGGTTCCATCCGATGTGGCTGGGAGAGAACCAGAGGGAGAAGTTGGCGCTCCAGAGCCTACCCCTATTCTGTCTCCATGCCTGGCCCCAACACCACCTGAGGTGGCTCCAGTGGTCCCCTCCCTCATCTGCCCTCGATCCCAGGAGAACCTCCCCACTCGACCCTGCCCGCTGCCCAGCAGTACCAATTATGTAGTAATCGTGGTGTGAGCGGAACTCGTGGCCCCAGAGGTTAGGGCTATACTCCTGGAACTTGATGGTGAAGCGGAGATCCAGATCTGGCCGGTCACAAGTGAGAAGGAGGTTTGGGGCAGGGGGTGCCTCACAGCGCCGGCCCTGGGCACCCCCTACCAGATACAGCTTGTAGAACTCGTAATTAGGAGAGGAGTGGGGGCCAGGAGGCCGGGCCCGGGGGCAGAGCAGATCTAGCCGGTCCCCGATCTGAGGGTAGAGCACGTAACCACCCTCTGCCTGGAACCTATGGGGAGGAGGGCAAGGTGGATAAGGACGAGAGGTGTCAGAGGTCTGGTCCCCAGAGCTTTGCCTCCCTCACCCCACATCCCTGCCGGACAGCCTTTGTCTGAGTGGAGAGTCTGTTCTGACAGAGCAGGCACTAAGGTCTCTGGAAGCTCACGGAAGCAGCAGGAAGCCAGGCTCAGAGGTCTCCTGCCCCTTGGTGTGCCCAAATGCACTCTTCAGCCCGCCCTCACCACATGCACACTGCCATCTCTCGCTCCATCACCGGTCCTGTTGCCATGGCAACAGGATGCCAGTTACCAAGGAGCTGGCCTCTCTGGAACCACACAGCCCACCCCTCCCGGGTGATTTCACTATTCCATGGCAGTCAACCATGGGGGCAGAGCCTCCCCTCCCACAGGCCACCACTGAATTTCAGTGATTTCAGGGCAAAGGGGGCGGGGTGGGGGAGGGGGTGTGAAGGGTGATCCAGACCAGTGTCCCAAGTACCCAGGCAATGTAACAGGACACAAATGCCTGGTCTGGCAATGGCCCTAAATGGGGCTAATCGAAACAGCTGCCCCAGACATTTCCCTGCTCAGTACCCCACTTCCCCCAGGTCCCACACTTCTTAGGGAAAGTGCCCTATTGCTTTGGAATTGAAAGAGTTGACTTTTCGACCCACAGCTGACCAAGTCCGCATCTCTCTCAGCCCCTGCAGCCACTGGCCCAGCACAGCCACTACTTGCCAACAACAGCAGACAGGGTCTCAGAACTTGGTCACAGGGGACTGCTGCTTGGTATCTTCCCAGACTCCCAAATAACCCCCTCCCTCCCTGCCCCAACATCCCAAAGAGCTCCCAGAACACCCTAACTCCATTTTCTCAGCTCTATCAGGATAAGCCTAACTTACATCCTCACACTGCTCCTGATACTCCAACTGCATCTGGGAGTTGGTGGGTAGGAGACTGAGAGGGGAAAAGACATTTGAGATTAGACCCCAAGGGATATGGGAGGGAGGCCAGGACAGGAAATGTGAGGGAAGCTGTGAAGTAAAGAGAGGAAGAATAATTACCCTAGTTCTCCTTCAATGAGCATATAATATGTTCAAATACCTTACCTCTAATCTTCATAAAACCTGTAAGGATTGAGGATACAAACTCAGAAAGGTTAAGTGACTTGCCCAAGGCCACACAACAGAAGGCAGCAGAGCTAGGATTAAGACCTAGGATTTGATGAGCTCCAAAGCACACCCTCTTTTCATGGCCTCACACAGCCTCCCCAGGCAATTAGGAAGTTTTCAAAACACAAAACTCTTTTGCTAACGGGGAGTAGGATCTGCATGGAGGCAAGGGACCCAAATGACCTCCCAAGGGTTTTGTCCTACTCTGTGTGGCTTGAGGTTTCATCTGACCCCTGGCCTTTTTTCAGAGCAAAGCAAGCATGCCTCAGAACAGAGGGTCTGATGGAAGAGTTTGCAGCAAAGATGGGGGAGGGGGCAACGGAGTCCTCAGGACTCCAGATGCAAGAGGGAAAGTGGGGGCTTTAGGAGGCTCCAGGCTTCTTCCAGAAAGAAATCTCCAAGCCAGGAAGGCAGGAAAATCTTCTGGTTGGGAAATTGTTCCACCAAGGATTCACAGACCCCCTGGCTGTGAGCAAGAGTTAGGAGATGGATGTGTGGAGAAGGGTCAAAAAGCCTTGGGGGAGTTGTCGCCAGAGCCCCCAAACTGAGAGCCCTTCCCTCCCATTTCCACCACCGAGTCCCTTCTGGGGAGGGAGGCACCCTGCCCTTCCTCTCAGCGCCTCAGCAGCACCTACTCAGCTGCTCTCCTGAGAGCTGACATTAACCAGGCTCCCTCTAAGCCCAGCCCCCGACACCACACAGGTCTCCCACAAACCCGAATAACCACTCCACTGCCCTCCCGGCTACCCACGATCTTTCAAATCCTTGCCCCTTGGGGGTCTTTCAAACTCCTGACACATGGCTGTCACCACCCGCATCCAGCTCTGTGCGCGACCCGCGAGTCTGGCTCCCAAGACCACCTCTGTCTGGTTGCCCATCAGCTCACATCCGATCACCAGCACCCTCCCTCCGCCTCCTCCCAGCTCCGAGAACCCAGGCCCCAAAGTCCCCCAGGCTTCCAGACTCCCTGCCCACAGGGTGTGGGGTATCCCCACCCCCGGGCCGCTCACCTCTTATTCGCCGAATTCCAGTAGACGGGCTCCAGGCTGAGCCCAGACACCAGCCCCAAAAAACCGAGCAGCAGCAGGGCCCCGACTCGCACGCCCCCCGGCCCAGAATGGGGGGCCCCCATGACCCCGCCAAGGCCTGGGGGGCGAGGCACCAACTCCCCCAAAGTCGCTCACCCCCTGGGGTGACTGCCTTGGCCGCCCGGGCTATTCTGCCCCGGCCACCCGTGTGGCTGATGCCCCCCGCTCCCACGCGGACCCGCTTCCTGCTCCGCCCGCGTCCCCTCTCCGGAGCGCTCCGCCCGCAGAAGCCCTTCCAGGGGCCGTCTGCAGGCGCCCTGCGCCCCCGGCCCACGCGCCGGCACCCCAGTATTTATGAGCGGGCCTAAGTGGGGGACTGGGGGAGCCGGGGACAGGGCGGGGGCGGCATGGGGCGCCGGGCGAGGGAGCGGGGAAGGGGGCGCCGAGCCGGGGCCCCAGCCTCGCCGGGATTGAGGGCAGCGGGCTAAGGGAGGAAACCAACCAGTCCTGAGCCCAGGAGGGGGGAGTTAAAGGAGAGGCGGGGAGGGGGAGAGGATGGCGGAGGGAAAAACCGGAGCTGGAGCCCGAGTCGGAGCGGGCGATCATGCAGCCCACGCCCCCCACACCTCCCTCACCTCGCGCACCTCCCAGCCCTCACCCCGCCGCCCCGCCTCACTCCCCCGCGCGGTCTCTCACGCCCCCTTTGTCTCTGCAACTCTCCGGCTCTGGCTTAGTTTCTGCCCACCTCCCCTCCTGCCCTCGGATCGCCCGAGCGGTTGGAATCTTCCGCTCCCTCAAATCCAGAAAGGCTCTCGCCCTCTCCACCCCGAGGAACCCAGCCCCTTTCGCTCCCGCAGCCCCCTCCTCCCCCATCCCAAAACAACACCGCTGCTCCGGGGAGGTCTGGAGAGAATAATAATAACCTTGAAGGCTCCGCACTTTACAAAGTGGGCTGAGTTGACCTTCCCGACTACCTGTGTGAAGTGGGAGGGGCAGGGCTTAAGGATCCCCGTGGCAGTGATGAAGAAACTGAGGCTCAGAGAGGCCCCGTGACTTGCCCAAGGTCACACGAGGAATCTGGGATAAAGCCGAAACCAGACCCAGGCTGCCGAACTCCCACTCCTGGGGTCTCTTTTGTCACAGCCTCCTAGACCCTCTACTGCTATCTGTTGGTTGACGAAAGGCAAGAGATTCGGGGGTAAACTTGGGCCCTTCTTAGATGGTTGTGGGGAGAAATGGGGCCGGGAGATAGGGAGAACCTACAACCCAAAACCCGCATGCAGCCGGAAGGGCTGTTTCCAATTATCCTGGGGGAAGGGAGGAGGATTTGCCTTTTTGGGTGTCAGAACCCTGGCTTTCAGCACCTCTGGGCAGAGGTGACATTCCTCTCCCCTCTCTAGTCGTCACAGGCCTCCAGACCCTTCCCTTAGGCTGTGAGGTCCAGAATCAAATCCTCTGCTGACAGTGTCTCTTCAGAAACCCCCTTCTCAGTGTGTGGCAAGGTGGGGGGAGGAGGGGAAGCCACTGCTTGAAATAACATACCCCCCAAAAAGACAGAGCAGATAAATGAAGAAACCAGACCAGCGACAGCTACTGAATGACTCTCGCCCTTGTCCTGCATCTAACGGGAATACAGAATGTGACATCTGTGTTTTTCGGCACTTTTACTCTTTCATGTGTGCCCTTGACTCTGGCTACTCAGTCACCTGCCTCCTGGGGGAGTCCGGGGGTGGGGGGAGGCGGTCCTCCTGCTCCCCTTCCCCCAGAGCTGACTAATGGTCCCTCTGCTGCCGGATGATGGTAAATAGTGTTGAGCAGGAGTGAGCGGGTGTCTTGTCTGTCACCATCTGCACAGTCTCACAGTCACACGCAACAGTCTGACACACAGCTCCTGCCACTCCTGCTCAGCCACATTCACCCTGACCCCTGCTGCCCCCACCTTGGGAGTGAGATTTCAAACAGGTTCCCCCCTTCAGTTTACCAAGTTGCCTAGCAACCAGCCAGTCAATGGCATGAAGCCCCACCCCCCACTTGCTTGACTTCACACCAAGCTCAGCAGCCCCATTGGTTCCCGCCTAGTCCCACCTCTCAACCCTGGTTTCAGGAACAATATGCCAGTCCTCACTGCTGCTGGACCAGTGAGCCCACTGGTACCCCTCCCGGCCTCATCTCCATCATCTGCCTCCCCAAAGAGACACAAAGACTCTAATATCATATAAAACCTTTTTATATAAACTCACACCCACCTCCCTCTGTCCCTCCCTGTCCCTTCTCGTCCTGGTGAGCATCAGGGACACTGGTATCCGGGCCGCCCCCACACCACCAGAGCTGAAGCTGACATTCAAGGTGGACGTGGCGCATGGAGAGCAGGGGAAGGTCCACCTCCTCCTCCCCCTCATCCCCACTCTCCGTGGGCTCTGGAAACACACGCTGACCGGAGCCAGTGGCCAGCAGAGGCAGACTAGGGTGCAGGCTGTAGGGAGAGATGGGCGGCGCCAGTCAGCACCATGAGCCAGCGTGCTTGCTCCCTCAGGGATTTACCTTCTCCCCAACCCAAGCCCCCAAATCTACAGAATTAACTTATGACCTCACTCCATTGGTGCAGTCCTTCTGGGGCAGGAAGCTCAGCACTGGCTCCGGCCTCCCCTCATGCCCAGCCGCACCGGTGTCCCACACGGAGACAGCCCCGCTCGTGCTGCCGCTCACTAGGAATTGCCCGCTCCTGGGGAAGAGAGGAGAGGCTTGCTGGCATGCAGTCATCACCTGGGGCAGGAACCCTTCACGGTCAGGGGCTGGGACCCTACAGGTGGGCTCTGGCATCCCTGAGGGCATCAAGACCCTGGGCAGGAAGGACCCACAGTCACTCACGGGTCCAGATCAAAGTAGATGCGCTGATTGGTGGTCACTTCACGACTCAGGGACCACAGTGGACGCCCAGGCTGCCGGAGATCCCAGCACAGAAGCTCGGCATCCTAAGGACAAAGAACAGGAGCCTAGAATCGTTTCCACCCTCCACTCCCCCACTCCCAACACATGTCTGCTTCCCTCCAGTTTTATAAGCACTCCTTTAGCTGGGTTGATTTTTTTTTTCCCATGCCCATCTCCCAACACAGCACAGACTACATCCCCACTCCTGCCTTTTACCCCCCTGCTTTGGGATCTCAGAACATGATCCCTACCTTACGGGCTCCTGAAAAGAAGCGATTCCCATCGGGGTGGAAACAGAGGTGGGTGATGCCCCCTTGGTGCCCTCCCAGCAAGGCAAGAGGGGAGCCATCATCCCAGGTGTACAGACCCAGGGAGCGCCCGTAGGAGCCACAGGCATAGAGGGGCTGGGTTGGACTGAAGGCTATGCAGGAGATGATGCCGCTCTGGCCCTGCTTTTTTGCTAGAAAGGGAAGGAAAAAAGTCGGGGAGAGGGCAAGAGCACCTGGCATTAACCACGCTAATCAGAGGTGCACCTCTGTCTACCGTCCCAGAGCCCATGTGCTGGACTCAGTGCCTCCCCCACCCCATTCGTTTTAAGCAGGATGAAGACCTCTGATGCTCCCTAGATCCCTCTATCCCCTGCAAAGGACCTAAAGGCCCAAGCCCCACTTCTTCCCTCTCAAACCTGTTTTTCCTTGAAGGGCTGGAAAGCTGAAGGCTTATAGGAAAAGGGAATCAGCTTTACTTCCAGTTTCCTGGAGATACCAAGATTTTGGAGATCAAAAGGCAGGGGGCTCAGGAGTGAACCAGCTCTTTACCCAGAGGTAAAGTTTCATCCCCTCCCTGAGTCTGTTTTCTTTCCTGTGCACTGGGCCCAACCTGCCCCACAGGTCTGTACTGAGGATGATGTGACCCCCGCCTCAACCCTGCACGTGACCCCTTGGCTCACACAAGGCCCCTCTGCACGTGGCTGGGCCTTTTCTCTCCTCCTCCCTCAGAGGCGCAGACTGCTTACCAAACGTGGCTCGGACCTCACAGTCGCGGCCGGGCCGGGATGTGGAGAAGATACGCACGGTCCGGTTGAAGCCACAGAAGAGCTGGGAGCCATCCGGGGAGAAGCAGAGCGAGTGGGCTGCTGTCAGCTCATCCTGGGGGCAGGAAAGGGCTGGAAATAGGCCTAGCAAAGAGCCTCAGCCATTCTCAAGGAAGGAGAGCTGGGCCAGGACGAGCACTGGGGCTGGGCGGGGAGGTCCCTACCAGGTGGTTGTAGGAGCGAAAGGAAGCCCGGAGCTCTCCAGTGAAGGCATCCCAGATGTGAATCGGGTTCTCCCGGCTGCTGCTGGCCACGCTGAGAGAGACACGGACACTGAGGCCCCAGTGCTGTCAAAGGAAGGGGAGGAAGCCAACTGACCGGCCCTCTCAGCTCACATCTGAAGGGCACAGCAAGCTTTCCTCCTCCCGAGACCCCTGACTCTCTCAGTGGAGGGTCCCCTTGAAATGGGGGCGGCGAGGAGGGGAGGCGAAAGACATCACTTACTAGGAGGTGTCTGGTTGGGCTGAAGACATCAGAGAATACCAGCAGTAATCATAGATGGTGTCGCCTTCCACCATTCGAAGGACGGGAGCCTGGACAGAGATGCGGGGATGCCTGGGTCACTGGCGGGAAAAGAAGGCCCACTCGGAAATCTAGCAGTTTTATGGCAGAGGGAGATGCTCTGTGGGCACTTAACCAGGCAGGAGAAGGGAGACGGGGTAAATATGAAGAACGGGATCTTGATCTCAAAGTTCAAGGTTTAGCTCAGACTCTAACATCAGACTTGGGCCACCGAAAGCCATGCAGATTTACCCTTTTGCTTTTGCAACACTTAGAGAGGAAGAAACAAGTAATATCCCAACCCAGAAACAAAGAACCGACCAATGATACAAATGTCTACCGAGTGCCTACCAGGCGCCATTTGATCCTCTAAAAAAAATTACTGAACAGTTCAAACAAGCAAAGAAGTATTAAAACAAAGCCAAACAAACCCTGTGAGTCCTCCACGTAGCTTAAGAAGCAAAATATTTTACCAAACGGTTAAAACCTCTTCCCAGTGAAACCCTCCCTCAGAGGTAAACACCATCCTGAATTTATCACTCTCGTGTATTTCTTTAGGATTACATTCGGACAGAGAAAAAA